GGCTGGCGGCACCCCACCGCCGCGCCCCGGGGAGCACCCTAGGGTGGCGCATTGAGTGCAAATGAGGACGGCAAAATTTGGGCTTGACGTCGTTTCTCTTAACAGACGAGCTGGGTTGAGCTGGGCACAGAGCTGCTCCGAGCCGTGGGGAACAGGGAGATGGTGGCACCGTTCCCCTTGGCGTGCGGATTCGGGCAGGTCCATCCAGCTCTGTCCGTGCCTCCGTCCCTGCCTGGTGAACGGGGATTTCTCACAACCCGGGGCCTCTCGAATACCTGAGGGCGAGGCGCCGAAGTCTCTTCCTGGCGAGCACCAAGAGCCCGTCCGTTTCTTGCCGCGCAGGCTGGGTGAGAGCGGGAAGGGTCAGCAGCAGGAGGTTGTCAGTGCGGCCGTGAACGCCCTGTGTTGATTATTTTCTATCAGCTGCTGTGAGAGGCAGTGGGCCTTCCTCCCGTGTCTTTTTCTGAAGCCACCTCCCCACATGGCTGTGTTACGTGAAGTTAAGCTGAGGATAGCCAGGAAAGCGGGGCCCATCCAGTCTGCTCCAGACAACAGCAGAGACGAATTCTTTATTCCCAAAGGCAATTAAAAAAAGGTAGAAAAAAGATTATTTTCCCTTGGAAAAGGCTCTCTGTGGAAGCAGAAAGTGCAGCGTAGCAGGGTGTGCTGGTTTGGGCTGGGGTAGAGTTCATTTTCTCCTTTCATTTTCTCCTCAGCAGCCAGTATGGGGCTGTGGTTTCCAGGGCCTTGTCTGCCTCTCACCCCACCCCACCAGCGAGGAGGCTGGGGGGGCACAAGGAGCTGGGAGGGGGCACGGCCGGGACAGCTGACCCCGGCTGACCCCAGGGGTATTCCATACCATATGACGTCATGCTCAGCATATACAGCTGGGGGAAGAAGGAGGAAGGGGGGGATGTTCGGAGCGATGGTATTGTCTTCCCAAGTCACCATTAGGCATGATGGAGCCCTGCTGTCCTGGAGATGGCTGAACACCTGCCTGCCCATGGGAAGCAGTGAATGATTTTCTTGTTTTGCTTTGCTTGTGCGCGCAGCTTTTGCTTTACCTGTTAAACTGTCTTTATCTCAACCCATGAGTTTTCTCACTTTTACTCTTTTGATTCTCTCCCCCACCCCACCGGGGGGGGGAGAGGGGAAGTGGGGGGGAGTCAGCAAGCAGCTGTGTGGGGCTTAGTTGCCGGCTGGGGGTAAACCATGACATCTATGCTGCTTCGTTTTTATCTCTTCCTTGCACTGTATTCTTTATCAGTCTCAAGGTAGACCTTAAAATGCAGCATCCAGTTAAATGGTATTTCAAGTTTCCATTAATTAGGAACCATTCTCCTTTCGTTCCTACTTATACACATGAATCCCCCAAGCTTAAGAAACAGGAGCGGGATAAAATAGTACAAATAAACTTTTATAACTGAGTAACTTTTATATACATATCTACAGCATGTGGCATCACAATGGCATAGAATCACAGAAAACTGGGGTGGAAGGGACCTCAAGAGGTCACTTAGTCTGCCTCTCTGCCCCAAGGCAGGATCAGCTATATTGAAACCATTCTTGACAGATGTTTGTACAACCTGATCTTAAAAAATTTCCACTGATGGAAATTCCACAGCCTCCTTAGGCAATCTACAAAAATATACTGTTACAAATCACACCTACTAATAATTCAGTGCAGCAAAATGTTCTTACTGACACGGGTCTGCAAGATTAATTCTTTGCCAGTTTTAATGCACAATATGGCACTCCTGAATTCATACAGATAATAACAACACACACATATCTCTGTGACTAGGCATACAAAATGTAAGTTGGTTTCCAATTTTATAAAACCAGAAATTCTGCACAACTGATCATGAGTGCTCTTAAATTCATAAGTTACAGAGGGCTTCATAATTAACCAAGGTATAAATACACTGCATCCTCTGCTACAGTGTAATTTGTGTGCTAAATACCTTTATGAATCTTTCTTTCATTATTTTTATACAGAAGGATTGAGATGCTTTCATGTACATGTATATATGTATATACATATATACCCCATGGGTGGGCTGTGTAATACAAACATCTATGTAATACAGATTTATAATGCAAAGTATTCCCAGGGGGGCTAAGGTCCATTGAAGCCAAAGAATCTAATGATAAACAAACTAGCACCTTCACAAATGCAGACTCTATGGTCAAGCCAGCCAGCTCTTGACACTTGTCTGCATCTTGACTTGCACTGAAGGGTCAATATAGCAGTTTATTCACTGGGAATCCCAGTTGCTTGTAATTAGGATGTAGAATTACTTCTCTACTAACAACATAACAGACAGCAGGATTTTGTTTGCAAAGGCATCAATTTTTCCAGAATTTAATACAGATTAACTAAGGCATCTAACTTTTTTCTTTTTTTTTTTTTTTCTCCGAGGACGGTAAGTGCGGCTACGTGCAGGCCTGGTGCTGGGCTTTCTGGGGGTAAACTGCTGCGGCTTTACACCGGCCTGGGTGTGTCACTGCCGTGGACTTTGCAACAGGTGTGGGCTTGGGATGGAGAAGGGACGTGGGTGCATATTCACCAGACCACACGTCCGTATGCTGCACTCAGGACTTACGTAAATACTTTTTTTTTTTTTTTTTAAAATCCTACTCCAGGAAAGTGGTGTAGCTTTAGATCACTCTGTTGATTTATAGAAACATACAAATTAGTTTGTAGGGGCTTGCTTGTAGTCGCTTAATCTGACTATCCTAAGCCTAACTTAATGTACTACTGTAAAGATCTCCAAGCTTTTCTGGACACTCATATTTGGAGAACTGTCAAAAGCCTGATGTGGAACTGTTGTCGTTTGTTTTGAGTTCTGTTTTTTCTGATGCTGGAAGTGTTTTGCAAGTAAGTCCCAAGGTGAGTCAGCTGAAGTAGGAAATGGGCTAAATGTTTGAAGAAGTTCAGAACAGATTTTTTGGGGTCTTTTTCTTGGCATCTGCTTCACTCTGCTACAATCAGTATCATTCAGGGTTAAAGATTAAAAGGACTTTTTAACTTTAAAAGCTGACTAAATAGGTCCTCATAACATACCTGAGTCCTAGTAGTTTCCGTCTGGCCTCATTGTCTTTCATAGTTTTACTGATGCTGTATGAATATTTCAGCATCTTTGTGAAAACTTGTTAGACATGAAATACTGTCTAACTGAAATCAGTGATGCGTGGTTTTTGATTTTGTTTTGTTTTTTTTTAAGATACTTTCAGTGCAGGCTATAATTAATCCTAGATCTCCATGACTCATGACAAAAGCATAGGAAAAATTCCTTAACTCTTATGTTGTTCTTGGCCAACTCCTTTGTCTCTGTTTATCCTCAGAGGTAGCACCTGTGGGCATGCCTGTAAATGACAGATTTTTTTTTTTTCTGTGAAGATTTTAAATATTTCAGGCCTAAGAAAACTCCAAAGACTCCAGTTACTTTTTTTAATGTATTTGATTAGTTAAGAAACTGCTATAGTAGCTGCTTCAGAAGTCTAATGTTTAGAACTTGAGTATTCCATAACATCGCATAATAGAACAGGTAGGCTAAATGTATTCTGTTATCTCATCTTGTAAACCTTAAAGAAGGGCTTCCTTAAACTTCTGCCAGGGTTGCTAGAGCTGCTTAGGTTCTTGGTGCCCTGCCACTAATAGAGCGATTCACTGTTTGGAGCAGAAAGCCGTCTCCTTGCAGTGTGCTAAAATGCAGATTGTTTCCACGTTCAGGCTTTTCCAGCTCAGTGTGGGGTTAACAGATGCTATAAGGGTTTTTTCCCTTGTATTTCCATTTAGTTGCAGAAGGTTGGAAACTGCTTTTGAGAGCCCTGACATACTGATTTCATCTGTGCTTTCCACTGTGGCAGCATTGTGTCTTTATCTCACATACTTAGGACATGTTGCACTGGCAGCAGTTTGCAGTTCAAACAGATGCTTGAGGCTGCTACTGCTGTCCTACTACTTTGGCTGATCTAATAATTTTATACTTCATTCTTCTTGGTATGTGATGGATTGCTCTTTTCATAGTGAAGTGTGTGTTTTCACAGTATGCGCTCAGGAAAACAGATATGTCTTGGGTTGCAGGATATGGTTATCTCCTTTTCTCTGGGACATATCTTACATTGTGCTAGATAACAAAATACTAAGTGGTGCCTAGAGATAGGGGTGCATTGGTGCCTTGGCTGTGCTTTTCCATTAAGTGAGTAGAGTAGCGCAGTTCAGATAACAGTAGCACAGTTCAGATGCAGTTTAGCTTAATGTAGGTAAAATTAAGGGAATTTTCATTTAACAGTATTGAGCTGTTAGTCTGGGCTTATTTTGTAACTGTGCAGGCCCTTGTGAGCCAAAGGTACGCTGGAGTTCTGTAACCTTCCTCATGAAGCCTTTGCAGGGCAGTGTGCTTTGGAAGTCACATTGTATTTTCGTTTTTAGGCTCTGTCACTTCCTGGTGATACTGCAAGACTTCAGATACCTTAGTTCTTGTGAAAGTAGCCTGTGAAATTTTTTTTTGTTGAACTGGAGGTGTAATAATTTCGACATAATGAGAATTACTGTTCTTTATCCTCATTCTGGTGAGGCCCTTTTCCAGTCTCAGCTTCTGAGGTTTCTTAGCTCTGTCTGAACTGAAAACCTTTAAGTTCAAACACATTTGTTTACTTGCTGTGCAGCATAATGCAGCTAACTACCCTCCCTCCCCTCCGCCCCCAGACTTTAGAGGGTGTTTTCACAACTCGGCGCGCAGGCTGTCTCGGCCTAGGAGCAAGTACTAATTTAGATCAGCAGCATAACTTCCATCTTCTGGTTTAAGAGGATTCGATTGCAGGTGTCTGCACTAGGACCCCAGGGATATTTATCCTGCCCTTCACCACCTTTCTAAGAATCTGTATGTGTGTGTGTGGCATCTGAAGTGGTACTGCTGTCACAGTGATGGAAACTCAGGCTCTCCCAGTTCTTCAGACCTGTTTCTCTGAAACTGGATGATACTGTGGTTAGTGCAGGATTCCTGGCCTGGAGAGAGTTAAGTAACGCAGCTACTGTAGTACCCTGCCTTGCTGTCGTCATGCAGGAGTCTTGAACAGAGAGAGCAAGGTGTTTGCCTTCTGTATGGTTTGTTCCTTGCTTATGGAATGTGGATTCCGGGAGAGGAAGAGATTGTCCCTGCTTTATGGACAGTGGAGTAGAGGGGTTTGCTCTTGATCCCTGAGGTGAGGAGAGCCCAGCAGGGATGTGGGTGGGTGCTGCTGTGGCAGAGGTTACTTGGGCCAGTGTACAGGTCATGGGGAAGCCTCTGTGTTACCCCTGCGAGAGTCTCGCATCCTGAGGTAGGAGAAACGAGGTAAGTAAGTACAGGAGAGAAAAGAGAATGGTCTCCGAAGATCAGTGATGATCTAATATCAATAATGACAGCAAATATGATAATTTATGTTTTAAAATTGGCTGTCTAGGGCAAGTTGCAAGGAATACCAGCTGGAAGCTTTAAAATTAGTGACAGAAGAGACGGGACGCTGAAGGCCTCATCCCCAGCAGTGTGTGTGAGTGACCCTTGGACTTTGGTTCATCAAATCTCTGGATTTGTCCTTTAATAAAGCTCAACAACGAGGTGTTGCATACTGTGGAGCTCTTTCGAAGAGCCACTGCCACTCTGGGTCTTGACTTGAAAATTTGAATAGGTAGATACTCCCATCTGGAAGCTGTCTAACCACTTGCTCAGACTTGTGTTAAAAGTAAAGTCCTGTCCCTAGTGGGACAGCTTTCCTTTCTTTCAGTAGTTTTAAATGGGTTCTAAGACCAAACTGCCCTTGATACTGCTTTTGGGACATCTTATCTGTCCCCTCCGCTCCCACTTCAGTCAGTGTCCTAGAACAGCATCCATTTTCTCAAGAACGCTTGTTGAACTCCACTGTTTGTTGGTTTGTGCTCAGTTTTCAGCCTACGGCTTGCTTAGTTACTCTTCCAGAGAAGAAAGTGCCTGGCTTTCCTACCTTATGAGGAGGCTGCTGAGAACCAGAGCTGCGGCAGGGAAGAATCAATCTCTAAGCATTTGATTCTAAAGGGCCAATACTGCTTGGGATTGTCACCAGGTGGGGGAGGAAAGGTAGTCCTGAGCTGATGTTCACAGCTGGTAGAAGTTGTTACTAACTTTCCAGTGCTGGCTTTCAGACTGATCTCAGATCTGGCTCTGGGCCTCTGGATTAGCTGAAGTAAAGCTTAAAAACCCCACTGCAGATTTTTGCTAATTTGAACAATCTTAACTATACTACTCTTGTTCTTTTGTTTTACAGTAAGATAGCATGCTGTTGGTTCTTATGTTGTTAGGCTGCTAATAAAAACCAAACATGCAAAACCTTTTTTTTTTTTAGGATGTTGAGACTTACCACTGTGGTATGGAAAGCTGTGAAGCATCTGTACTGTTTTCATATGCAAATGGGAATATCAAAGCAATGATCTTCATTTCCTGCAACTCAGTGTTATAGTTTACCTCTTTATAAAGGAAGTGGTCCCTGTGAAATACTGCAGGTCATTGCTGACCTGAAAAAAATGAAAAGGGGTTGAAAAATCTGTTCTCTGGTTACCAGTTGTTGGCACATGTTTGCCAGCCAAATGAAGGAATACATTAATTGTATTAGTGCTGGAAAACGCCCTCACAGTAGGAAGCAAGGGTGAGCTTTATATCGGAGTCCCTGAGTTTTAATTTGGGCACTGAGGGGGTGGGGGGAGGAGGGGGGAGAACCCTGTCACTGATATGTAAAAATGCCTTTTCAAAAAAGGGAATATGTCTGCCCTGGTGGCTTGTAACAGCTCTTACTGTGAGGCACATTCCTTTTACAGGAGAGCTATCTATTTATACAAAGGTGCTTCAGATATTTCTCTGTGGGCATACCCAGGAACTTTATAAGCTGCCTCCCGGATCGGCTGGTCTGAGGCGAGAGCACGGTAGAGAGAAGCTTGTGTGTTTTGGAGTATGTAGAGTTCCTTAGTTACTGCTAGCAGCGCTCAGTCCCTTGGACCCATATTTACGCGGCTTAGTTGACAGACTTCTTACTCCGAGATTGTCATAGCCTGAGGAGAAGGGCTCAAATAACTTATGTTGGTGCAGGCTGCTAAAACAATTGGGTTGGGACTTGACTACGCAGTTTTCCGTTTCCCTTTACTCAGCCTTTCCCAAAGGAAGGCTAGTTAGTGTGAAGTAAATGATCAGATTTTTACTTTAAAGTATCTGATTTGGATGCTGCTTTCTGTACCGCTTTTCTACAAGAAGACCTCATTACCTTACAGTTGTTGATAAAAATGTACTGTCTTGAAATTTAAACAGGAAATAAATAAGAAGGTCCTTGTCATGATAGCATATTCCAGCCTCTAGGACTTAGAAGTCATGGCCTGTTACACAGATGGTTTTACACCCACTTGTGGTGTTCTTACACAGTGCACTGGGATTAGGCTTTGTGGAAGAAAACCTCCAGGGCAGACTCATTTCCTTACACAAACCTTTTGACTGGGGTGGTGGTTTTGGCAATAAAAGTAAGTCCCAGGAGATGCTCCCGCACCAGTACTGTCTAGGGCTTCAGTGTTGATGATTAACTCCAAAGAGAGTAGAAGAATCGTTGCAGGAGCAATCTGTGTTCCATATCAAACATGCAAGTACGAGCACAGGAAAGAGTATCAGTTCGTGCTTGTGGAGGGATGCGACTTACTCATCCCTTGTGCAAATTCATTCTGAATAAAGGTTACTTATCTCTCTTTTCAACTCCAGGAACTTTCAAACTTACAATAGAATTCACAGAAGAATATCCGAATAAGCCACCTACTGTTAGATTTGTCTCTAAAATGTTTCATCCAAATGGTAAGTACTTCCACAATGCCTTTTTTAAGTTATAGCTTGCTATACTGCTGCAGAAAAAAGTCTATTTATTATAAAAGTTTCCTCTGTCTAATAAGCTAGCAGAATTCCAGGGTGGTTCTATGTAGTTTTGGTAAGGATGAGTATGTGAGCAGTGCTCAGGCTTGAAATGAAAGGGGCAATCAAAGGAGCCTCTTAACTTTCGTGTGTTACAGCACAGTTTTGATGGGGTGCTCTTCTCTCTCAACTGGCTGTTGTTAAACCTTACAGAATAATATTTTGTACTTAAATAGCACTGCAGTGCCTTGGACTCTTGTCTATACATACTGCATACATAGCGTAATGAGACTGCTGAACGCAATTGTCTCTTATCACTTCTCTTCCCCAAAATGCCTGTAAGAATGATAGACGTTGAAATGTAGTGCTAGTTTCCAACCAGAGTCAGTGATAGTAAGATCATTTAATTAATCCATTTCCTTGGTAATTAAAGGTTGGAGAGGTATTCCCTGCCTCCAAAGAAATACTAGTTTTGTGAAGAAGTACTGGAAACTTTCAAATGCAGCAAGTAAGCACGTGTGGGTAAAGTGCATTGAGGGAAGCTGCCATGAGGAAGGTGACCAGGCACTGACTGTTGGGAGATACTTTTGGGGGAAACCTTATGTGTAAACAAGCTTTTTGCCCATCTTCTTTAATTGGTTCACTTGTGGGTAGCTGAAATTTCTTTGCCTTAAAGTCTATTAATGGTTTTTCATTCGTTCCATAGCAGTAGTTGCAATGTCTCAGAGAAGCTTGATGTTGAAGAATAAGCAGAGGTTGAGTCCAAACACCTGAACAGGCAGGTGTTGGTGACAAGCTTCACCTCTTCCTACCTCCAGGCTTGTTTGCTGGATTTAAATCTGTTCAGATGCTATTGATTTTCGTGGTGTCTGTCAGTGTGTAGGTTTTCAGGATCAGGCAATACTAGGAAAAAACTGAGTAGCTGTACAACTTCTGTCTTAAGCCATTCTTTCTGAACCTTTTCTAGTCTATGCAGACGGTAGTATATGTCTGGATATTCTTCAGAATCGTTGGAGTCCTACTTACGATGTCTCCTCCATCTTAACATCCATACAGGTAAAAAGAACTCTGCATAAAAAAGGCAGAATGACATTAGGATGCTTAGACAAAAACAGCTCGGGAAATGCTTTTTTTTTTTTTTTTTCTTCTTTTCTCCTTATAACCAGTATAGCAGCTATACCTTGATATTTGCTAAAGTGTGAATGCTTCCCAGCTGTAAATTGACCAGTCAGTGACAGCAGGTGGTCGCTGAAGGGGCCGGTCCAGGGATTGCACCCCTGGGGTGTCGCTGTGGGGCTGTCTGTAGCTGCCTGCACTGCTAAGAACGAGAGCGAAAGCTTCCCGTACCCCACAACTGGAATAATGCAGTGTACCCTACCGGTACCTGGGTGAACGTCGGCACTCTTAGGAGTATGGGTAGTTCAAGGAATATGTTGGAAAACTAAACCTACTTTCCAGTGCCTAAGAATCTTTTTCTCTTTGCGCAGTCCCTATTGGATGAGCCAAATCCCAACAGCCCAGCAAACAGCCAGGCAGCTCAGCTATACCAAGAGAATAAGCGGGAATATGAAAAACGGGTTTCTGCAATAGTAGAACAGAGCTGGCGTGACTGTTGACCCAGGATGATGCAAATGAACACTCTGTTGATGAGGAAAATAAACAAAGTGTCTCAGTCATCTTTTTCCTCCTAGCATTTACTTTGAAAGCAGAATAGCTGTTGTGCTGTTGCCACCCTCCCTTGCTGAAGCTTCTTCTCCTTGGACATCAGAAAGCACCCACTTTGAAGTCAAATGTTCTGTACTTGGGTTACTTGCAAAAGAGTTACTGATGCTGAATTCATTTTCTGTGGTCCCTCTCCAGTCTTAGGGCAGTATTGTGCATTTCTGTAGTGTACACTAAGCTTTTAATTGTAATTGTGTTATACACAGTGATGCTTATGTGTAGCTTGATAAAAGGGATGTTTATATACATACACATTTTTTAACTGATATTAACTAAAGTGCTGATCTGTCCAGGCTGGTCATTTACCTCTACTATTGGTTTAGACCCCACTGCATTTGTAAGTACTGAGTGAAGAAATAACCTCTTGTTTCCCTTCTGTATGGGTTTATCAACCTCTTACTCATGGAAAAAAAAACACAAACTGATTCCAATTCCAATGTTTAGTGAGATGGTGGAATGCTAGTTACTTCAGCACTTCACATGCAAGATTTATGTACAGATATACATAAATCGCTACAGTTGTGGTACTTTGATCTTCGCTTAGGGTGAGAAACAACCCTCCCCTTTTTTTTTTTATTTTATTTTATTTTAAAGGGCATGCCTACAGTAACTGCTTCAATCTGTTTCTGTAGTGCTGTCACTGAGGCATTACTGGGCAAAACCAGGTAGAGCTGTGGTACTCTGAGCGAAAAACCTTCTGCATTAAGGAAGAGGTAAAACCTGCAGCATTCCGGCGGTGGAATTACTCTCCCTCAGTGTCTTTCTCCCACCCCTTATCTTTAGCTGAGAAAGATAAGTTCCTTGGGATCCAACTCTGTCTTGGGGAAAGTTTGAATAAAGTACGGGGTAGGCACTTGAGGCTCTGCAGTTTCTGCTCTTCGTGGATTACTGTGTGGTTTGTGTGAGCTACCGCTGCATGCTTGAGTTACTTTCCCTTTGGTTTTATGAAAGTCTTTTTTCAACTCTGGAAAAAAAAAACCCAAACCCAACCCCCTTTGTAAGTCCAGACTTACTTTTTTTTGTAAGGCTAAGTTTCTACATTTGGATACAAGCAGCAGTGTGGGATGAAACCTACAATTGTGTTGTCCACTGTTCCAGTGTCTTTTGTGTGCACATTGGTCTGTTAGTTGAGTTTAACTTTGCACAAGTAACCCATGTAAGAAACTGTACATTTTTCAAAAGTTGTAAATAAAGTGTAACCTTAGTGCTTATTGTATAAATAGGCAAGAGGCGTCCAGCTGTGGTTATTGTGACAGGGCAGCCGGGGCCGGTGGTGGGACCCAGCTGCCGGTGCACTCCTACAGCAGGAGCATGGAAGGCTTCCTGCCCCGTGGCTGCCTGCTGCCGGCCGGGGTAGAGAAGGAGGGGCGAGGGCCAGGATCTGCTCACTGCAGAGAAATGGCGAAACAGGCACCGGTCTTGGGGGGGGGGAGGAAAGAAAAAAAGAAAAAGAGGGGGGAAAAAAAAAAAGCACTTGCAGGAAGCTCGGCCCTGGGCCATGCTGCTGAGTGAACAGCAGACAAAGCAGCCTATGATAATGAGTTTGTTACAGTAACTTAACAGGCTCAGTAATGAACTGGCACGGGGATCATATTTATTTTCCTCCTGTCTTAGGAGGACAGGATTTAATCTGACAGGCACATGACAACAGCTGGTACTGCTGCCTAGCTCTGCTGTTAAGACAGAAGCTGCCAGGCTCTTCCAAAACATCAAATGGGGATTTTTACCTGCTGTGACAACAGCTCGTACCCCCGACCAGGCCTTTTGGCATCACAGTCCTACCCAAGTTACGCTGGCTCGTTTTCCTAAAGGGCAGGGTGTCTCAGCAGCGGCACTGGGCAGTCCCTCAGGCGTGCGTGGCGCAGGCAGGACAGCAGGACTCTGCCGTGAGTAATCAATCAATCAGTCACATTTGTTTCTTCAGCATTCCCTGCGCCAGGCTTTGCCAAGTCAGAGCCAGTCAAGCAATGAGCACCTCGGTGGCACCCACGATGCTGCAGACCAGTGGGAGAAGTAAACAAAGCACCCACAAAACCACCCCACCCCCCCCACCTTGGCAATGAAGCCAACCACACGTACCCCAACCATTGCCCCTGTACCAGCTGTGATGATTTCTGCAGGCTATTGCAAGCAGAACCCTTCCTGCGTGGTCCAAGTCACTCTGATGTCACAGATGCCCTCATCCTAGCAGTCCCTCCATTTTTGTATTGTCTTGCTAGTCACAAAAAAAAAAAAAATTTCAAATCTCACCTTCACCCCCCCATAGGTAAGGCCTTCATCTGCTCACTTACTTACTTACTTTTAATCCACGTACTGGTGCTCCAGAAAGCTGACGGCCACATAAATGCGCTGGGGCTGGCGAGGCTGGCACCCCTCTGGCAACACCCAGCGCCCCACACCTACAGCCGCTTGCTGCACAGGAGGCGACGGCCGGGTCCTGCACAGCGCTACCGCACGCGGCGAGGGCGGGTGGGTGGCCCAGAGTCACAGCCGCTACCCAGGCCAGGAAAAGCAATGCCCTGCACAGACCCGCACTGGAGGCTACCCCTGTTGGGGTACTGCTGCGTTTAGCCAGCCTCCCATCCCCAAAAGAGGCATTTTTTTCATCCCAAATACTGCAGGGGTGTTCTTGCTGCTTTTCTCAGCATCACCAAGCCTTTAAGATCTGCTGTACAGCCAGGCTGGGGGGCGGGCTGCACTCCTGCTTGCAGGAATATCTGCTGAGAGAGAACCAGGCTCCTTCCACTCCTACGTCACCATCTGCCAGAGCCCTGCACTCCTCAGAGCAGAATTTGGAAGCAGAGCAAGAAGGAATAATGCACACAAACACACACACCCCCCCCAAAACAACAAACCCAACGTACTTTCAGAATTAACTGCAATTAACTGCCAGATGCTGTTTCCACAAAGGCAGGAGCAGCACGGTTCGATTTGCGCAGTCCAGGCTAGCAGAAGCTGTGCTGCGGCCACCCAGGCAAGGAGAGGAGGGAACGCGCCCTCGCTCGCTCCTTCCTGAGCGGGTCCTTACCTGAGGGTAGCCCCTTCCTTTTCACACGGCAGGGATGAAAATGCCACCAACTGTGCATCACCCGGACATTCTGCTCCGTCGGTAGAGGTCAGTCACCCTCTCCTCAGCACTGAGAGCTTTTAAAAAGAAAACGGAACAGGAGGTGGGAAAAAAATGCTAGAGGATGACGTAAAAAGATGGGGAGGTAAATATAGGCAGCGGAAAAAACAAAGCGATAGCTGAGACACAAGGCAAGAGGAGGACAGAAAAAAGTACTTTGTTAGGACTGGCTTTGCGTTAAAGAACCATCGTCGGGCCCTACTGGTGACAGGAAAACCCCAGCAGCTCTAGGCATATCCCACTCTTGGCTCTTCCAAGGTCAATTCCTAACCTCGCTGTTTTCCAAGCCCGAAGGGAGGGTTCCTGCGAGGCTCACAAGCACCACGTCCTGCGGTACCACCGGCAGAATAGCGCAGGCAGCGGTCAGCGTCTGCTCCCCAGCAAGGGAGGAGCGCTCCGGCCTCCCGGCTGCGCGTGCCGCTCCTGGAGAGAGGCCACACGCGCCCCACCTCAGAGCAACACCGGGGTTTTAATTGTGAATTGCCCTCGACACACACGAGGGACAGAAACAAAGCAGAGAAATAATGAGGCACGGAGCTGATTGTGCTCAGGATTAGATTGCTTATATTCAAAGTAAAAAAAAAAAAAAAAAAAAAGTTATGTAACAGTCCCCACCAGCTACACCAGCGTCTCCGCGCGTGGGCTCTGCGCTTACCTCCAGCTTCTGTGTGTCACACGGCGCCGCGGTATTTGCACACGCCAGGCAGCGCGCCAAGGTAACGAAGGCACTGGAATTACCTCAGTGCGACGCACGGATGACTGAGGTGTGCTCAGTAACGCCAGTACGGGAGCCGCAAGGTAGAAATCTATGAATAAAACTGTACCGTTAAATGGGATAAGGACATCTCCCTACATGTACACAGCAGAGACGAGACCTCGCTATACCTATTTCTCAAGAATAAATGCAGTTTCACACATTTTTTTTTTTATACAAAGTGTGACAAATCCTGTTTTTTTCCAGAAATAAAACTTTATTTTTATTGTCATTAATACCAACTTTACATACAGGTTCATTCCCCTAGACTGCATTTCCTTTGCTTTTTATTATTTTATTTTTTTTTTTTTAAAAAAAAAAGGCTTTTTTTTTTTCCTTCCTCAGTCAAGAAGAATAAGGGAACTATAATTTTAAATGATGTCAAATTCCTTCTCGTTGGACATGTGTTTTTGCTATTACAAAACTATTAAAATGTGAAGGAGTGGGTAATATCAAAGACACATACAGTAACAGCACTACTGCTCTTGGGTTGTGCTAATATACTTGAACAGAACTTGGTCAGTTCTAAAAGTCTAACAACATTTTTAGAAATTATATTAACGAAGTAGAAGACCTCAACGTTAATATAACCCACAACAAGAAAAATGCAGCATCTCTCTCTGTAATTGAACACCTAGGAAGCTCAGTCTCCGGCAAAAGGGGACGCCTACCCTCAGTTTGCTTGAGGCATAATAAGCTCGTAATGCCCGACCTGGCCTTCTTGCTTCAGCTGGTCTAACAGATCTTCCTTGCGCCGCTTCCTGCTCACCACCAAGTATCTGTTGTGCCCCTGCCCGTGGGATTTACTTTTAAGACCATATTTTTGGGCGATCTGATGTATCTGCTTCCGCTCATCCATGGTCAGTTCTCTAGAGAAAGTCAAGTCAATGTGACTTTCTGAGCGTGCATAGTTTCGAATGATCTCTTCAATATCTCTCTTTGCGATTTTATTCACCCTTTCTACATCAAGCCCAAGTCCCTCCCTTTTAAACTGCTCCTTCACTGAAATTGGCTCTCTAATTCCTTCACCATC